GGGGAGGAAGTCATCGGATAGCTCGATGAACATAATTGCAATAATTAGCGCGGTTGCTTCTACCGGCTCCACAAAGCGATCGATCTGTATTGGAAGATAGGATAGTCTAACTTTGCTTTGTTCGAGCGAGTCGTGGCAGACGCAAATTCAACGTCAACTGACAAGAATGAGAGTGGTATGAGAGTAGCTTGATATTCATCTCCTGTTGTCAACTGACGCGATAGAATAGTCAATCTCATAACATGCAAATGTCGACGATGCAACATTAATTTATTCGGGAATCTGGGGTTATGTCTAGGTAGGATATTTTGGACAATTGAAAATTATACAGTAGGATCAATGTATTGTGACGTGAGGAACCGGATCGTGGACGTATCCTGATCGATATTTGAATATCCTGTGTACCTTGCGCCGCTTAGTCTTTCGCGGTAAACAGCAAGAACTTCCGCAACTTCCCCAACATTTAGCGAGCTTCACGGGTCGTCTACTTCGGCATCCATTCTCACTGTAATATTCCCTTATGTGCTCCTTGCGACAGGTTGCTGCTGCGACATTAATATTAATATACGTTACGATATCCTCTTTCATATTGTCTGTGTGTGTGTGTGTGTGTGTGTGTGTGTGTATGACTAATTGCGCATTTAATTAGAAATTACACGATAAGTGACAAAAAGAGAAAACAATAAGCACAACAGTGACTCCAAGCACGAGATTTTGTTTTATCAATATTTGATAAAACGTTGTAACTTTGTGTGGAATAATATCAAGCGATGAATTACGTTTCTCGCAGTATCGTCCTTGCCAACCAGTTTGACATCGGCAGGAGTAGTTGTTGCCAAACGGTGATGGTACGCATTGGGAGCCTTTTCTGCATTCATGACCGATACATGCGTGCGAAGGTATCAGTCCAGTTACCGATACGATGACATCTACAATTATTTCTCGTTCAAAATTCACGTTCAAACTTCACGTGAGGAATAAAAGAAAAAAAGAAAAAAAGAAGAAAAAAGAAAAATATCTTAAAATATATGTACTAAAAAGTATAGCAATATAATGAGTTTTTTAACACGTCTTTTGTTGCGACAGGAATAATTTATATTGCGTACATGTTTAAGGATACTTTTTTCATATTTCGACTTTACTTAAGACATTAATGTAAAGTCACGTGAAAAAAAGAGGAAAATTGGTAAATTAAAGAACGAACAATATAACTAAGCTGAACTGAGTAAGCAACAATTGGAGATATTAACATACCAGAATGTTCGCGAGGTACGTGCTCTTGCGGCATGGACTCTTCGTTACTGCCACTATTGTTAATTCCCTCGGCTTCAACAATATCCCTCGCCTCGTCGGCCTCTTCCTCGCTAGAAGTACATCCGGGAGTAACGCGATGCATCTTTGCGGCGTTACTGAAGTCTACCAACTTATGATTGATCCACATCTCGGAGATGCAGCCTGAGATAAAGCAAGGAAACTTTTAATGGATCTGGCGAGCGAGAAACTTTTACTCTATCTTATATAAAGAGTGGCGGCATGAACACATGTACCGTATAACCGAACGTCGCGATGAAATCGCATCGAGGAATAAGTACAAGTGACGCGAATACCACGCACCGTGCATTTGCACGTGTCCGTACAACGTGTTTCGCGAATGACTCGCGCATCTCGCACAAGCTGACCAATTGATCTCCATTGTCGCTGCATCGTTGATAATAATGTCCCAGATAGCACAGAGAATTCAAAAAGAATTCTGTCGTATGTCATCAATTCTGAATTCATTTTTAGATGCAAAAAGAATCTTTTTTATTGAACTGAACTCTGAAGAATTCTTTTTGCACCTGAAAATTAACTCAGAATTGATGACATACGACTGAATTCTTTTTGAATTCTTTGTGGTATCTGAGGTATTTTCGTATTTTGTAATACACGGGGTTTAATACGGTCGTATGTGAATAATACGCGATATGAATTCCTCCACGTAAATCACGATTATGCAGCATAATCGCAATACTGTTGTCACTACAAAACTGCCATATCAAATTTGCTTTCTCCCGGACCACACATTATTCCATGTACTATATATAAACGTAGTAAATCAGAGTATCGCGTCGAGGGACATCAAAAATGTAACCGAATATTAAATGAGGTTCCCGCAAGTTGCAGCTTTGCGGCTGATATCCCGAGTTTGCGACAACTATCGTTTCCCGGGGGAACCGCGGAGTATCGGTGTTGGAAGCAGCAGTGGTAGAGAGCACAAATCAACCGTGAAATCTTCTAAATTACCAACCTGCTGCGATGCGACGCATTACAACAGTTTATTACGACAGCTTCCTTACAATACGATAAACACGAGGCAACATAAAATCCAATTGACACGATTAATTGGAATTATTACTCGAAACGATTAATTCAAATCGATCTAAAGATGTGTCGTGCAAACAGAACGGCTTATTTCTACAAAATTCACATTTCTTTGCAATTGTTTCGTAGTTGCCAATCTTTAAAAATTTTACACACACTCGCACACCATTTGGTCATTCTCGGTTGTGATGTACACAACGATAGAGGAAAGACAAAATTCTACTCGCTCTAAGAACGGGTGGAAACTCGACTTTGACTTGTCAAAATGTGAGGAAAATGCAAAAATTCACCTACCTTGGAAGCTCGTAATGTTCCTCAGGTGAAACTCGGTAAATGCGACTTTTGCGACTTCTGGCGTTACGCCACCGACAAACATCGGCGTGACAAGCTTGAGGTACTCCTTCGGACCATCGTTGATAATGCTCCTGGCGAGGCCCCGGTCAACCCTCATTGTAAAATTTTTCTTGATGGCCAGCAGCTCCGCCATATGAGACTTGCCATCGGCCACCATTTCGTAGCTATACATCGTCGAGGTAGGATAATTGCCTACGTCGTACGAAACCCTGATCCGCCCATTAAAGAGCTCGACGGCGATATGCCCGTCGCTTTGCCCGTCATAGAGAAGAACCCCGTTTTCCTGCGTGGTCGTGAATACGATGGTCACGTTCGCCTCAGGCCTCGTGCGTAGCGGTTCCAGCTCGACCAGCGAGCTGTTGTCCACGAAGCTCAGACTCGTCAGGTACTCGCATCGTTTTCCTGAAACAAGAATGCAATATCGAACTGTAATATCGTACAGGTTCTCATTTGTCGACTCTCCGTCGTCATAAACAAAAGTACACGTAAAAAAAGGATTTGCTGCAACAGCAAACTAATTTGCTATATATGGATAGTTAAACATAATTCGATATGTTAGCTATTTTTTATTTGCTGCAGGAATCTATTTCCTTCTTATGATAACAAGAAAATCTGTTCGTACAGCAGAACAAGTGGTTAACGCAGCAAATTTGCTACAGATGGGACAGAATGCTACATAATGCTACAGAATTAAACATAATTTATTGCTTTAGCTACTTTTTTGCTGCAGAAGCAAATTTTGTTGTTATTTTACCAAAAAAATTGTTTCCTGCAGCGAAGAAAAAGTGGCTAACATAGCAAATTATGTTTAGTTGTCCATATCTTTTTTTCCGTGTCGATTCGTGTTACGATCGCAGATGTTTTGATGTATATCGGTTAGCAAAATTAGAACGAATGATCCTTTTAGCGGGAGAATAGCTGCATGATGATAAAATTGCTGTTTATATTATATATTTACCGGTATAGCCGGGATGGCACTGGCAAAGATAGTCCGCGGCGGAGGCGGGAGCGGGCTGGAAGCAAGCACCGTGCTGACAGTCGTGGTGGGCACACGGACTGGTCTGCGGATACAGCATAGCTGTCGAGGGTGCAGCCTCGCAGTATCTCCCCGTAAAGTCCGCCGCGCACTTACACTCGTAATTGTTTATGCCGTCGATGCAAGTAGCACCGTTCTGCAAGGAGGAAGAACAAAATTGCAGATCAAAAAGGGGGGAGAAAGAAAAAATTTGTGCGATATAAGTCGAAACAAGTATGTCGTGGCATGTTATTTCACGCAGCACTTTTGTACTCTCTTGTTATCGCAATTCTCCTCCGACCACGCGGAGGAGAAGAACCACAAATAGATCAATTGCGAATAGACCAGATGTGAAAATTTACCTAAAACTGTAATGTTTGAAATGTGACATATACATCACGACAAGAGAAATGTACATGCAGGACAACATTTTTCACGTCGATACGTTTCTAATGTAGCCATCTAATTAACGTCGGCTAGTAACTTTACGGATAAGATAGGAACGCGCGCATAAACTGCGGATGCAACTAACTACTAGCGCACGGTTACAAATCATCGGGCGAACCGCCAGTTTCACATGCCTGGTCTGGAGTCTCAAACTAAGGGCCATGTACATCGGGGCTTAAGTCACATATGTGCAATATAATATATCCCTCCGCTGCGAGTTATACGTGCTAATCTTATCAATAGTTGGCCCGAAATCAACAAAAGCGATCCGAGTGTTCGTGCTGTTATTTCATTGCGATATAATGATACGGTGCAAGAGTGCTGTTTATTAGTTGCATGTCGATTGATGCAGCTAATATTTATTTGAATAACGATAAATTATTTTTAATAACATCTAATATTGATGCGCATTGAAGAAAAGCGCATTTATATATATATATATATATATATATATATATATATATATATATGTATGTATGTATGTATGTATGTATGTATGTATGTATGTATGTTTGTATGTATGTATGTATGTGTAGAATACACTCGATATATGCAAATGGAAGATTTAATGGAAGAAAAGCCGGTCTACGGCCAGTCAATTCCTCCCCTTTCACGGAAGCTTAAGAAGCATGGAACGTGATATACTATCGTGGCTTTAGAGCTAGTACCACAAAGCCGAAAACTCCACACGAGTCTTCGCTGGGCCGAAACCGCCGCAAACACTCGGATGAAATCTGAGTGGCGTTATAATACTCCGCGAAGAAACTTGCGCGTAAAATTTCATACGCCAACTTTGCTCCTAGGCCTTGGGTCTTTGCGGGTGTAAAGTTTCGGAAGATTGTAAAGAGAGCCGGGAGAAAGAGAGAGAGAGAGAGAGAGAGAGAGAGAGAGAGAGAGAGAGAGAG